CGAGAGAGAGCGAGAGAGAGAGAGAGAGAGAGAGAGAGAGAGAGCCTTAGAAGGCGAGTACGTAGCTACTCAAGTATGTATAGAAATACGGTGAGCTTGCGAAAGCTCTTGAGCACGCGCCGGCATCTCGAGGATTCTCGTTGGCGCAGCGAAGAGTCGTCCTTTCCATCTCAAAAAATCTTTAGTAAGAAAAACCTCGAAGGATTTAAGTGGGGGGGTAAAAATGGAAAACATCTATCGGAAGCAACAGTGTGCAGGAGGAATCGCTGCCAGTAAATGGCGCAGTGCATGAAAAATGAGTGATGATGCCGGCGCTCGTGTAGAAAGAAATCACGAGCAAGCCACGCAAAAATTCATAATGTCATGTAACGCAATGACAGGTAGTATAAACAAAAGTTTGTTTGTCCAGCGCTAAACTCACGGGCAAATTCCATAAAAGATGTAAAAATATTACATACATATCGCAGAGCCACGCGCATAAATGCATCGCGCGATCTCCGTGACTGGGAAGACGTTGAGAGAGCAGCTGGAAAACTGAAATATCGGAGAATGGCTTTCCAAGTTGCAGATCAGCAACAAAAAATCGGATCAGCATTAGAAACTTAAGCTCGGATAATAAAATTACCGGCAAACTAGTTGGAGAAAAAAAATAATTAAAGCCACAGACGAACAGAGACATTCTTACCATAATGCGACGGTGTAAGTAAACAAATAAAAGGTAAGATACTCGCCTTTATTTAAATCATATGAAGATACCAAGTTTCAGCATTATCTTTTTGACTTATCCATTATCACGGTCTGTTTCAAGCATTCCAGCTTTCGGATCAATGACTCTTCTTCCAATGCATTCTTCTTCTTTCACATTAAAAGGAATGAGCACTTTCAATCATTTTCTTGCGTTCTCTTCATCTGATACGGCTGGTCGGACACTTATCCTGCCTCTCGATCCTTCGACTGGTATCGAGTACGATGGCGTTAAGGCGCTCGCGCGAATACGCTGCGCTGGCGCTTTGTTAATGTTTTCAACGTGAACGACGAGTGAGGGCGAAGACGATAGATAGAAACTCTTATCGATTGTAAACTAAAGTAGCAGACGAAAGACGGAAAGAAGAATATAATATGGGGAGAATGGGAATTGTAAAGACAGTAGAGATCGGAACGAAATTGATCAACGATCGAAAGGCAATAAATGGGTTGTGACTTACTGTTAACGAGAGATAAGAGGACAGAGAGACTTATTGAGCAAAGAATATAAAATAAAGGAGCGTGGGCTTAAAGAAGTAGAGTTAGCCCCCAAGGGGGCTCGTATGGTTCCTATGGTTCCTATGGTTCCTATGGTTCCTATGGCTCGTATGGCTCGTATGGCTCGTATGGCTCGTACGCCTCATCCCTCACTCTCGGAGTGGAAAATACGACGCAGGCGGATAATGCAGCGAAATATGCACCGGAGAAATAAGGCCGTAAGGTAGGAGGCGACCCGTAAGAAACATAAGGAACGTAAGAAAAATTACGAATAATCTGATACGATGGTGGTAGCCACGAAACAGACAATACAAAAGTACACTTATCCAACTTATCAGACATATGCGTTATACGTACATAAAACTGAGAAAATAGTAAATTGATTAATCCATTCCCGTTATCGGTGATATCGAGAGTATGAACCGTGGCCGAGTGCGGCATTAGTGCCTTTACGTAAGCGTGGCAATATTATATCGACAACATAAAACAGCTCTTCCTCTTGGACAGAGAGATCGATTGCTATTGCTCTATGTTCTGTTTCGTTCATTTTTTTCAATACGAATTCGACTTTGAATGCACCTTCCTGGTACCTCGTTAGAGCCTCGGCAACCCGAAGCCGCAATAACCCTTGTGCTTCTTCGCGAAATAACCGTGTCACCGGGTAGAGTGCGCCGCGATGACCGTAACAGAGACAGAGAGTGGCGTTAACACTGACAATCGCAAGGAACGTCGGATTCGAGAAAACTTCGATGAAACCCCTCTGTCCATTTTCTGATTGTATACACGTAATATTCTAGAGAAGCGTGTGATCGAATGAGGTTCCCACGCGCCAATCATAAGGACATTCACTCGAAAGGCGCAACGACGCGACAAAGAGATCAGGACACTGCTCTTCCTCTCATTCGAACATACGCCAGACTCATGCTTATTAGAACTACGCACACGTACGAATAAAGTGACATTTAGCAATTTCGGTCAGAATTATCCACACTTTAAAGTTTCGACCTGTTTTCACTTAAAAGCTCCAAGAATTTTGAAAAACTTGTGACTGCACAACGCGTCTTCGCTAACAGAACTAAAATTTCTCTTGTTGCGACCAAATTGCCAAAGGTCTAGAGCCAAAGATGGTTGTGGGGTGTGTGCGCACCTACCTTGTGCACTTACGCACCATGCCACTTCGGACAACGGGTGACTAACTCTCAAGTGTACCTAACGAAATCTCTCTCCCACATTCCACGTCCCGTATTATATTTTCAGCGTTTTCAATCTTTGCTAAAACACAAATGGGTAAATCAATAACTTTTAAAGATTCCGAATTCTTGACATTCTGTTGTCTCAGGCACTAAAATATTTTTATCAAGCACGTTTTGATTCAGTCTTTTAAATATGAGCGTGAATGTCCCAAAATTGAATCTTTAACTGCGCATCAAATAATATAATCAAGAAGAATCAAACTTTTTTTGGACGTTTCTTTTTTTCATATATTATATATCATATTATATATCATATATTACATTCGAAAAATAAAAATTTTTTCTAGATCGGTCAAAACTATACCTGACTGAAATTCAATAACGGATTAAATTTTATGAAGAATTAGTTCAAATTAGAAAAAATCCCATTGTACAATTTGACCAAGAGTGCAGAGTGTTTAATTATTGTTTGTGTTCTCCACAACGAAACCGCATCTTTGGCTCTCGATCAATCGAAAGAATAATAAAGGAAAACTCACCCAGACTTGGGGTCGCCGTCGGCTGCCTGAGGCATAGACATTTCAGGCATTTCGGTGATTTTTTGTTGCTGTAGTCCCGAAGGGCCTGCTTCGTCGCACGCTAGTGAAACGTTCACAAACGTCGTGGGCTCGATAGTTCTATTATTACTTGGATCTTCCTCACTCTCTTCTTTGACAGGTAAGCCTAAGAAGGAATAAGAAGAGCAGTTACATCAGCGCTAAAGTACACACAAAACTTAAGCGTTCGGATATGTTTAAGACTCAAACAGTTTTCAAGAGTTTAAACAATGATACCTTCATCGGCGTCGCACTCTTCGTCGGAGTTTTCATCCTCGTCAGTAGTATCCTCCTCGTCGTCTTGATGCGAAATAGACGCAGTGACAACGGTAGGAGTGGCTGTGGTTGGATTAGTACCCGTTCCAGCAGTCGCACTGGCACTTCCTTGGTTCTGCGCTAATTGTTCCTGGTGGTTAGGTTGCGCACTGGGACCCGCCACCGCCACCACCGCCTGCTGCACTGGCCGCACTGTCTGAACGGAGTTACCGCTCGTGTCCATAGGAACTGAGGTGATTTGTTGCTGATTGCCACTGGGTATCATGATAGGCATCCCCAAGCCCATATTGTCTATCATGGTCATACCACCCATGTTATCTTGATGCCCGCTCACTTGCTGCATCACGTTACTATCTAGCCTACTCTCACTGTTTTGTTCCTGCTTCATCACACTCTGTAACACGATAATCCCAATCAATTATTTCATTAATTACAATTGCTTCTAAATTATCAAATACTTTCACGGCAAACGCGGCCCAAGACAGACTATCGCGCTTTTACTCATATCTTTATCTATTTAATACATATGTTTTCAGGAGAAGAAACACTCGTTACCAATCAAATAACCAATTAACGCTGCCGAACAAGTAAAGTTGGACTTTTCATGAAAAGATTGTTCGTTCGACGAATTAAAGTTGGTTTTCTTATATACTTTAAAGCTAAGCACTCGATAGACACTGTCGCTTATTACAGATTACTATTGAAACCAGAAAAAAATCTTACAGCATACACAATTTATATTTTAGTCAGTGGTTGTCGCGGTAGTCAAGGTAAACACCATTGGATAACAATCGTTAACAAAACAATAGATAGTCGAACGGAATTGTGGAAAATCGCTGTACGCTCTCCTTCTCCTTTGCATTTGTTCGCGTCTCATTTTGTTTTCCAAACTGCAGTGAAAATGCTTTTCGTTCCTGAATTATGTCGCAGGAAACAACGGACAAAGATAATTACCGGATTGAGAACTCCGGTGACATAACCCTGTTTCTCCTCCAGGCCAACTTCTCCGAGCCATTGCAGGAGTTGCTTCTCAGCATTGGCCGTTGTGTTCCAAAATTGATAAAATAATTCTACTTTATACACACAGTCATCACATATTTTTTTCGGTAATTTGTCCTCTCTGGCAACCTGCAATCAGAATGGATAGAATTCTTACTCGCTGTATCATATGACTGCACTCGAGCAGTCAGCCTTCGTGTTCAATTGAGATCTCTCTGCCAGCGATCGAGTGTATGTCAGGAAACAGGATAAACTTAGGAGGTACTAAAGTTAAGATCATACGTAGATCAAACATTTGATTCGAGTACTTGAAAGCGGCCGATCAAAATATGAAGAATGACAATTATAACGATCAATTAACTCTGGGATCGTGACACGTCACTGGAACACGAGTCCGCTGCGCGATTTAGCTGAGAGGATCGCACGAAACAAATAAAACCATCACCGAGATCCGTCAACCATTTGGTGGCACGTAAGCGTCGAACATCATTTTATTTCCATTATTTAATTGAAAATAGATCGCTTGAACTTCGTTTTTGAACACTTCGTTGTTTGGTTTAAGGTATTTACAACGTTTACCGGCAAACACGTGGCGTAGTAATCGTCGATATTGATTCTCCGTCCCTTACAAGAAAATTCTCCGCTACTCCATGGAAGCCACATTGTGTGTGCATGCGTGCGTGCGTGTGTGTATTATAAATGTATATATATATGTATACACATATATACAATTTTTCCATTTATGAAAAACAGAAAATCTTCAAGTGCAATCTGGTATCCCGGATGAGTAATCGATTAAATATCTCGTACCTCTGATAGGCTAATATTAATAGGTTGGTAGGTTCGTGCAAAGCGTCAAAGGACGCTGCTTTCAATGGGACACGCGAATTCAACGGAGAAAAGAAGAACAAAAAGAACATAAAAAATAACGATACGCTGTGAAAGAGATAAAGAAGGAAAATTACACGAATAAGAGACAAAAAAACAATACCATAAAGAGAAAATGAAGCAGAGGGGGCGACGAAGAAGAGGGAATTGAGGGGTCCACGGGGAGAATTTAAGTGTAAAGAAAACAAGTGGAGGAAAGTGGTAGAACACATTGTACGAAGAGTTGATAGAAGATAGAATGCTGTTGGGTAACTTGGTGGCGTCGCGCGGACAGAACAATTCATTAAGCTCCGTTTATGTTTCTGTATAAAGCGGCCCTAATTTCGAGCACGTCTTATCTACAAGGTGCGCAAAGAAACATTTACAGAGACAGGCCACGTAATCGGCTCTCTGGACTACAGGGAGGTTAAAAAGTTTCATGATAAGTCCGTAGTGGAAGAGAGCTTCTCAAAATGGCCGACGGCTTCGAACGACGGCGTAGTTGGCTTACCTTGACCGGCAGACAGGCAGCGATTTTGAGGAATATCTGTCGAACGTCACCTTCCCCCTCAAAAATCGGCACGGAGACACGATCTTTCACAAGACACAGCCGGCACAAATCCAGATAATCAAGGGAGGACATTTTCCCATGTAAAACGCCAGTTCGAGACGCAAGCCGCGCCCGTGGACGCGTACGCTGTTTCACCCAAGCCGGAGAAGACCCCGCGTCGTTCGGTGCGCGTCGTTCGTTCACACCGCTTCGGGCAGTCTCGGCCATACTCGAGCGTCTTCGGGTTTCTCCGTCCGCCGTCGGCATGGGTCCGCGTATCGATCGGGCGTGCACTGCGAAGCCAGCCGACGCCAACCGCCTTTACGCACCAGGTGCGAACCAAGCCTTTATCGAAACCTCAAGTCGCGCTCCTTCTAGCAAGCACCCTTATTACTTTTAGCTTTTTCATTTCTCATCTTATGAATCGCTTTTTAGTAAATATCCTGCCTTCTCTTCTTCGCCATACAGCAGGAAAAGTCAAACATCATGCTGATCAAGTTGTGATTGGAAAAATAACACACACGTGAGAATCCAAAAATTTGCATTTTTACAACGTATACCAAATTATAAGTACGCAGTCATCTTAAAATGTCTCCGTTGTTCTACTTACGCCTTATAAACCCATAAACATATGTAGATTTAATCACGGTAAACTCTAGCTGGGTGATTTACGATTGAGGTACCAATCGGTAAAATTCACCTCATATCAAATTATAGACGTGACAATGACTCGAGTTCAGCAAGTAAACAAGGGATCCTCGTAATATCCTCTATTTTGGCTGTGATAAACGTATTAACGTATTAACGTATTAACAACACCTTAAAAGAGTATCGTTAAGAATCGTGTTGAAGTATATAAAGCAGAAGGATTTTAGCTCCTACTTTTGAATTAGCACGAGACAGTGACTACTGGTGACCAAAGTAACGCCGCGACTCTTGAGGTACGGGGCCCTGAAGGCTCGTAGCTCGAGTATGGCCGAGAGAATACAAATGTGACAATACATTCCTCGTTTATGCTCATCCGGCAAACAGCTTGTGCCCCGGCACGGTCATCCTTTTGATTGGTCGAGATGCTGATGCGACGCTGCTCGACCAATCGGTTTTCAGGATTCTGACCAGACATCTTCCTCTCGACGCATCCGCGCGGGAGAATACACGGCGTGGATCGTGTGGATCAGTGCAGATCGGTGCTTCATAGCCGGTCGAGTGAGAACGAAAGAGTGAAAGAGAAAGGCATCATTTTGACCGGTCACGAAGGTTACACTGTGCTGCTCGAGCATACGATCATCCTATCCTATATACTGTGACTTCTTATGATACCTAAAGAACGATAGGACATATAAGGAAAAAGAAAATGGAAAACATTCTATACCTAAGGTCGAGCAAATCACGCTAAGATTCTGCATAGGCCGTGACATAAAATAATAAAACGAGATGGGTCAGGATTTGAAGTATCATTGAGTATCTATTTTTTTTGTAAATTGATTAGGTGCTGGCGTTGCACGAAAAAACGAGATGGCCGAACTGTCACTCTCCACTCTTTATTCTATTCCGATGACCATTGTCTCGCGATTCAGCAATCTGCGTATCTTCACATTGTCAAAGATACTCACGTAGAATCATTACGTGTCATAACTTCAGAAGAATGTCTGAAAGTGCGCGCTCTTGGCCTTCTCAATATTTATTTCCTTAAGCATCAAGTGTCTAATGATTTTCATCCTGGTCGATGGATTGGTTGCGACAAAGTATCTCCACGTCTTTTCTGGTAACTCTTTATACGTTAACTCAAACGTTAACTCAAAAGCGTCAGTGGTAATTTTATTGCAAGCTACAATTTGGTGGTTTTAATACAAACTAAAATTAGAAACGTAAAGTAATGGTATTCGAAGATTTTAATTATTTATTACAGAAAGAGACAGGCATAATAAATAATTGCTGAATGATAATTCGGTGTAGCTTTTACCCGATTCCACATTGCGTGCACATCTCTCGTCTCGCTTCTTTGGCCTCGCCGCTTCACGTCGTCCTTCCTCGGCGCAAAGCGTCCTAAAGCGGCTCCGAAGTGGATGCAATTGGCGTAGCAACGATTAGCTGCTCGCAATGGCGCAGCGAGCTCGGACCTTCGACTATCAGGAGCCGAGGGAGAGCTGAAATATGTAGCGGCAAGAAACTCGAAAAAGTTTAGTTAAAAAAACTGCTTTATTGTGGCAGAACACAAGTATTATCATATACCAGCATATAATTAGGAAGTTCATAGTAATTTACAAATCACGATTCAATTAAAGGTCAATGCATATGGCGGTGTGTGCAGGCAGATTTGGGAACCAATTTCGATCACAGTGCGGAGTTTATCGTTGAACGCCCCTGTTCCGGGACGTCGTGACGCCCTATGAAGGAAACGGGCGTCTTGCTTCAACGATCCTGAGAAGCGATCGTGAATTTTCACATTCGCTTCCCAATATCTTTATGTTAATAAATTGAAAATAAGAGATATGTGGTATCGTCTTTCCTTCGTTCTTTCATTCCTTTTCTTTTCTTGTAGCTCAGCGTCCCGACGCTCTTTTCTCTGTACACACACTTTCTCTACACTTTCTATACTTCCATCTGGTAATTCATCCCCCTCCCTCCCTCTCTCTCTCTCTCTCTCTCTCTCTCTCTCTCTCTCTCTCTCTCTCTCTCTCTCTCTCTCTCTCTTTGCTACCGTTTGCGTCTACTCTTCCGTAACTCCCGCAACACAACATAACCTTTATGAAATGGCTGTCTGGTTGGGTCCCCCATCCAGGACCACGCACTCGCTTCCTACCCCTCTCCTACCTTGACTCGCCCTTCCGCTTTCATTATTTTCTCTTATTGAAACTCTAAACTATAGTCAATCGACGAGTCAAATGTGACAGTTTACGAGATTCTTTTGTATTGAAATTCTTAGAAAGATGACATCTCCAAGTCATTGACTCGTGGACCGACTATATGAAGAAAAATATTTGGTCCTAGGCGATATTTCATTTTCTTCGCTCTGAATAGCGTTAGTCTGATGAGTAACGTCTGCGAAGTTTCTGATGATCGTTTACGAATAGACGGGAAAGCTCCTTGTGACAGTTTCTAGCTCGCCAATCGAATCCCCCTGAGGTTTCGATGCGAAGGAAAAACTTTCGTTTCATCATTTTGCTCTGACAGCGCGTGTCACAGATTCACAGCGATTTCTCTCTTTCTTCCTTTCGAGACAATGGCTGCATTGACTGCATTGACTGCATTGAATGCATTGCTTCGATGCTCGAATGTAATTGTTTAGTCAATTAATCGATTAAATAATCTTTTAAATTCGTAACTATAATCGTAAGTTCTATAAGTATAATAGCAAAATTTGTGTCCACTTCCTCCTCGAGTGAACCCAGCCCACCCTGATCCGCCCCCCCCCCTTCGCCCCCGTTTCCGGTTTATCGTGTTCGTTAACTTATACACATTTATTACAAATATTATTCTTTATATTCGTACGATGTATCGTTACAATGTTACTGTGTCTGAATCTACTATTACAAATTTAAAAATACGGGAAGTTTCAATGTCATGGCTGCTTAGCATTTAACGTCGCTGGAAAGAGACTCTAACAGCGTCCTTTGTGGTTTGAATCTCTCTCTCTCTCTCTCTCTCTCTCTCTCTCTCTCTCTCTCTCTCTCTCTCTCAGCTCATTGGCACTTTGAAGCTAGAGTTGTTCGACATCTCCGCAAGATTTATACCAGACGGAGAACGTTACGCCACATTGATCAATTGTTTTAATCAGCTTAACGACAAAACATTAATCGACAATGCAAATTAAAACGCAATGTTACAGGAATTTTAATGAATGCGTTTACTTAACAGATTATATTCAGCTCTCTGCGCGATATCTTAATTCGTCAGTTTCTCCCTTCGTGGCTCGGGCTTCGTCCTTCGTCCTTCGTCCTTCGTCCTTCGTCCTTCGTCCTTCGTCCTTTGTCCTTTGTCCTACCGCGTCTGATCTCTCTCATTCTCACAGCTGCACATTATGGGAAACACGCAGGCATCCATACACGTTACACATACGTTCGGCCAATCGCGCATTTCAGCTGGCACGACAGGCTGGTGTCGCCATCACTTCATTACTCTTCTTCTTAATAATCTCTTATGCGAGGAGAGGTCCCTTTGGATTCTCTCGAGGAAATTCAGGACGACGTTCCTCGGTCCTCATGGATGTCTTCGACATCCGTCATCTTCCCCGAGCTACTGGTGCGGGCAATATAACTCGCGTATTACTTTTGAAGGAATCTATATTACAATTATCGTACAATTAATAACAAAATTGTTACGACAAGTATACCGTTAATTCGGTGTCGTTACACTTATTATCGATTAGTTATTCATTAATTCTGTTGCATTTAACGTTATAGCCATTTATACTGGTAAGCAGCAATGTTGCAATAATGCAAATTATCTCGAAGCGCAGTCCGGGCACACAGCCATACATTCTAGAAATCGCACCTACGCATCGACGCTCGTAAAACTAATGAAATGCGAGCGTGGCCCTTTTCCTATCTAGTTGGGAAGATCAGTCGCGAATCTCACGAATTTCGCCGTATCCAGCGTCCCGCCATTCTCTCTCTGCATCTAACAATTAGCCATTGTCCGCTCTGTCTGAAAATATGCGCACGCAACAAAATAATCAATTGAAGTAAACACTTGCATTTATCATTTTCGTCTTGTATTCGAGACGTTCGAGGTGGGTACCTACCTACGAGTGGGTACCCACTACCCTGTGCGCCTCGACACTTGGACTGCCGGTCGCCGAGCATACGTACCCCGAGATCGAACGGACCGCGATTGCTCCTACAGCGGCCTAACTTCAAGTCGCAACAGAAATCTTTCGCTCCGCTCGAGGGATAATGCAGATTTCTTCCGAGTCGGGACTCGCGATCACGCAGTCTCGCAGCGCGCAGTGTCGCAGCGCGCAGCGAGTCGTCGCCGTGCTCATTCTCGGTTGCTCGATTCTCATTGGCCCAGCGCCCAGTTACTTGTACAATTTCAGAGCGGACGAGAGTATCAAACGGAACGTCCAATGAGACGTAGTGGTAGAGAATTGGGGACGGTCGGTGAAAGGAATAGGTGAAAAAGCGACAAGAAATGAACTTAAAGTATTGTCTATCGTGCTCTGCTTGCATGGTGAACGGGTGGTAAACATCTATAAATTCATTGTCATTATCATTGCTGTAAAATGGTATATCGAGATGTATTAAAGGCTAGGGAAATTATGGAGAAAGGATAAAACAAAGTAGAAGGTGGAGAATAGATAACATTTTTAAACGCATTCCCTATTGTCCGCAGTTTCTCGTTGACTATTCGAATCTTCGCAATTCCCTTATTCTAGATTATGGAAAATCCTCCTCCTGGCCGATACGCGACTCTCGGATACCTTATTCTAATATATTACAATGTACCTTTCTTTAACAAAAAGGAAGGTCTAGTCGGTATCGCTTCTTTCTCTTTGTCTTAATTTAAATGGGTAATTAACACGTGGCGGGTGGGTCCGTGGAGTGGTCTCGCGGGGGAGACGTGCGGCCGGGATGGCTGCGAGCTGCGCTTCCAGTTATTTCGGCTACACGCATAATCGCGAGGTCTTAACGTTTCTTCTGGGCTTTACCCTCCTCGCCTCTCGATTATCGCCACAGCCACGTAGAGGAACGAGTGAGCTCGCAAGCACGTGGACGTGGGATCGAAAGGGACGGGGGATGGAAGAAGGAGTACTTCTGGCTGGCGGAGTCTTTCCTGGCCGCGACGTCCTGCTCCACGTTAATAAACCTTGATAAACTATCTATGGTAGCTCCTACATATTTCTCCTTTTACACGCGCCCGCTACGGTTGTTAACAATCAAAATTTTCTTAAAATTTAAGAAGTGGAAAATCGAGAATGTCAATCCTTTTTGTTCTTGCATACGTATATAATATGTCTCGCAGAGACATAGGTATATTATACACATGGTAAGTTGAAACACCGTAAGTCAAAGTCCCTAATCATCGTACATGTAACTATATACTTCATATATACAAATTGTAAAATGTTTTTGTTAATTAAAAAGTTTTTACTTATCAGTGTGGATATAGATAGAAATATCTTTTTTTCCTTTTTGCTTCTCTTGTGCTACGGAACACATGGTAACTCGCACACCATTTTGTACACGAATATCAAGGTTTTTCTTTTTTCCTTTTTCCTTTTTCCTTTTTCCTCTTTCCTACCGACGTCGCTAATCCCCCATCGTTTCGCTCCATTTCTATTTCCTATAAATCGAGAGAACCGTAATATCGTTTTCTTTTCTTAAATGTTCACTAGTTTCTTTCGACATATTCTCTTGCACACCCTTGCATTCCCTCGTCATACGTTCTGCGGTTGAGACGTCCCGCAGCATGAGACGTCCACGGCTCTAGGTTGCATTGCACGTTCGTCTGATTCCGATTCAAAATATACCCTAAGAGAGCGAACAGGAATCCCAATGGGGCACTGGGAATTCAGCGACCTCTTGGCGACCTTTTCCGAACTTGTATTTCACGCCCTCACTCGTCCAACGAATGCGCTATAGAGTGCGGTGTGCATATGTATGTACATCGACGATGCTGCCGCATCTGGGATTCACGGGTCGAAGAGAAATAAATATCATTTAGTTTGCTGATTTCAATGGAAATGAAACTTTTTCAATTTCGTATCTCACCCGACTTTCCGCTTTACGATGAAACTTTAACGTTTTTTCTCCCTTTTTGCTTTTCTCACTAATGAAACCAAAAGCCAAAGCCGAGAATTCGAAACACGTGTTGTGGCGCGAGTGAGTGCTCTCCGAGCAACGGCTCTTCGCTCGAATTTCCTTTGGATTCTAGCAACGCAAAAGAAAAAGAAAAGAAAAAAAAAAGAAGAAAAGGACTAATACGGAAGAAAGAAGAGTACGAAGGATAATAGAAAATGATGGTCGCCGTGTGATCTTGAAATATTCTGCTTATGCCGGAAGAAAGATAATTTGATATCTCGTCCTACTAAATGGAACTGCGACGAGAGCAATGGAGTCGAAATTCTGGATATTGCAAGTATTCCGGATGTTCAGGGTATTCCAGATTGCAGATTGAAGATTGCGTTGATTGTGTGGATTGCGTAAATTGCGTAAATTGCGTAAATTGCGTAAATTGCAGCTCTGGAGGAAGGGAAGGTGTGGGCAGTGTTCGGGCCGACGGGCAGCGTCAGATGCTGGCACGATGCTGATGTAACGGCGGAAGTTGGAGGAGAGGTGCGAGGGCCGGGGGACGTAGTTCGGTCCGTAGACTCAGGACCGGCAGCTGCTGCATCGGGAGGAGGTGAGAGATCTTGCCGGGCGAACGACGAACCGTGAAACGCGGTCTCCGCCGTTTCTTGTAGAAGCTGCTGCAGCGGCAGCTGCAGACCGACTGGTTGTCGTCGAGCGAGATGGTGTCGCCCTGGGTCCCGACCTGACCCGAAAGTATCGAGCCATTCGCCGTGATCACGTCGCCCTCGAGACGCACTGCTCCCTGGGCCGCCTGAAATCGATCCATCCGACATTGCAGACTCCCGCCAGTACACGGCTACCAACCACTAGCCAGCTATCCTTTCCTTGCTTTCTTTTTTTATTCTTGTACTGAGGACTTTCCTCTGAGACGCGAGCACTTGTCAAGTGTCACTCCTCCTTCCTCATTGATCGCGACTATACTTGTAACTGGCCTATATAATTCGTCTTCCTTGGAAACTCACCTGCAGAGCTTCGGCTTCGTCTCGGCGTTCGTCCTCCGTGTTCATCGTGACGAATCTCAGGACGAGCAAGTTTAGCGAGGCAGCGACAATTGCCAACCCAAAGAGAATGAAGATCAGAGCGAACATGACGTACTCGGGTTTGTTGTCGAGAGCGTTGTCTTTCTGTAGAGCGACCATGTCGCCGAATCCGATGGTCGTCAGGGTGATGAAGCAGTAGTAGACAGAGTCAAAGTAAGACCAGCCCTCGTACCTGGAGAACGCGGCGGCGCCACCGGCGATCGTCAGACTCGAAAGTGTCGTCACCACGCAAATTAGGTTCATCTCCGAGGCCTGTATTGGACATCGAATTAGGCTTAGGATACTTCAAAGTCAAAGGTCACACCTTCTGTCCCCGTTTACACTGCCTCCCTGTTAGCACGCACCTTGGAGAAACGTCTTTAAGAAGTCTTTTTGAGCAACCTCTCACTGATCGGACACCGATCGGACACCGATCATCCAAGACAACGAATTTAAAAGCCTCGGTGCAGCCTCGACCATTCGGGGGAGGGAAGCTAACGCGCTTCCCTGTGGTTGGAAAAAGGACGCGGAAACGCGAGTACAGAGGTGCAAGCAGAAAAAAAAAGAAAAAAACGAAGGCACTGGACGTTGAGAACGCTTTCGAGGTGCCCTAAGTTCAAGACATTCGAATGACGTCATCGGGATGCGTTGGTGCTATCAGGAATGTCAGATCGGAATTGAAAACCTACTTGGACGTCCTTGCAGTGCAAGAGCCGTTTAACGTTTTGTATGACGACCGACGAGAATTTGTTGAGTCGCTCTCCTATGCTCTGGAACATTACGAGACCCAGTGGAATGCCGACCATGGCGTAGCACATGGTGAACAGTTTGCCGCCTATGGTATTCGGCGTCGAGTGTCCGTACCCTGTGAAGAAGCGAGAGCATTTCAAGTCTTTCTTCGTGCCTGCTAGCCAGTATCACGCGACAGGAGACTATCTCACTAGGAATCGAAAGGCCGTGCGAAGGAGATTCTGCAGAAAATTCATATTTCACGGGATTGGAAAAGGAATAAGTGGAATGACGACGTGCGTGGGTAAGTAAGGTGGAAAGTGAAGCCGCTGTCAAATAAAACAGAGCCCCGAGACCTTACCGATAGTGGTGAGGACCGTCGTGGCGTAGTAGAAAGCTCCAGCGAATTTCCATTGCTGCCCGGCCTTGTGCGGCTCCGTCTTCTGCACAACCGTCTCCATGACCTTGAAGTCGTCCTCGCTAATGTTATACTTGCGTATCACCATTTTCTCTATGGCTGCGGACACAAATGGCGTTACAAACGACATTGAGAAAAAACACTCTCGTTATACGTAGCATGCGTCAGTCGATGAAATATTTCCGTCTACACGAAAAATTGTCATGAGTTCAGGAAATTAGTGTGTATTAATGTTTTCATCAGAGACTACTTATGGCAGTATCCACACTTTGACGGACATGCAAGAGAGCTAATGTATAAATTGATGCATATTGATGGGCATGAAGAACGTCTGGGAATCAGTGGCCCTTGGTGAAAATAATAGATGAAGTCTCCCGGTGATCCCGATTAATTCAATTTTTCACCGAAGGATCTTTCGTCAGCCGCAATGTCCTTATCTACATCTGAAAGGACGTGGGGTGGGCATGCCGATCGTGGCGCGTCACTGGCATGACACGTGAACCGATCTTTACCATCTAATGCTTCCCAGCGTCGTTTCTCCGTCTCGGACTCGAGGGCGTCGAAAACTGCAGCGCCAACGAGGAGGTAGGTGAACGTGCAGACGATCAACGATAGGGTCCGGACGTTTTGCTTCTTCATTCTCTAGTGAGCCACATGCTCACTAGCAGGGCCTCGGCCCTAACTGCTTGCATCGCTCAGAGAATTACGGGGTTGGCTGCTGGGCCCATGGCGCCCCTCTGTCTGTCTACCTGTCACCCTTCCTTTTTGTCTGTCGTCCTGCCTTCTTTTGACTGTGCTTCCAGCCTGCTTCCAGCCTGCTTCCAGCCTGCTTCCTCCTAGCCCGATTTCGATTAGAAGGTGCTAACTTCGGCTCCGGCTATCACAGCCCCGGCTCGCGGCTCCTCTTCACGCTGTCTTCCTGTACCTCGCGAGCGTCTTCGCCGAGCCACCTTCGTTCACCTGAAACGTATCAGCGCTATCATTGGCACCGGTAACGCCAGACGGGGAGAATGTGACGTAGTAGTAATAGTAGTAGTAGTAGTAGTATTAGAGTAATTTATTCGAAGGAAGAAGGAAAAGAGGAAAAGAGTAACCTGCAGCCTGATCTTTGATGTCCTTTGCCGTCGACAAAGGTTTCGGCAGAATGATATGGCAGTGCTTTCGCTGCTCCCACTGCCACGTGCCCTCCATTCCTTAGCGTAGCGCGGCGCTCCTTGGCGTTCACTGAAAGCAGAGCGAAGCGAGGCTCGATTAGGAATCAGGAAATTTAATAATTTTAGAAGAATCTTCTTCTTGCGGTACATCTCGTAGCCTGTATCCTGAGTATATTTGGGGGGGGGGGGGGGAAAA